AGTTTACAGTTGGCCGGCAAACTGTAAACTGGATGGCTAAACTCCCTCGGCGTGTTGTATCTCTCTATTTGGCCAATTTCTACTATTTCCAGCCGCGCCCTCAAGCCTGGTAGAGGCTAATGACCCTGGGTTGTTGTGGTCTTTAGAAAAACAGGAACATGTCACTCAGATGACACAGATGTGTTTTTAAGCGGGTTGAATAGAACCGAACATACCAGTACTTCCACATTGAAAGAGGAACAGTACTACGTAATGAGTACCCATAACATAACAGTGTATTAAAACACCATCGGGCAGTTTGGTTGTTCGTTGTGCTCATATCTAGTAGAAGGTCCGTGCTACTGAGGATCAAGTCTATGTTCTGGTATATAGAGTGTGTTGTAACTTAAACGCAGTTCAGAAGTACATGTGTATGTTTTTTCTGAAATGTTGATAGCTGTTTGAATAAAGAATAAGGAGACGAGCATGAAAGTCTGATTTTGTAAATTACATACAATTTCATAGTGAAAAAATGAAACTCAAAGAAATTTGACCATCTCACGCGCAAAACAAAAAACACATGTCCACAGAACTTGGGTCGGATAGCTGATGAAGACCAAGAGATTTAGTCCAAGAATTCCAGTGAGTCAAATTTCTTTGAGTTGGAGAAGTTCAATTTTTCATTGTAAGGCCACACCAATTTAATTTCTTGGTTAACGGATTTTTCTAGAATAATAATGGAGCGGGCGGGCAAAAAAAAATAAAAACAGGCCTAGGGATCCTATTATGGCCCAAAATGGTACGATAGGAGCCATGAAGTCAACAAACAACTGGTTCAAAATTTAAACAATGAATTTTGAACTTTTAATGATACCACTGTAATGAAAGATGGAATAACTGTAACAACTAGGAAGAAAAGGACTGTTTTTAACTGTTCAGGGCAAAATATGAGCATTTTGCAGTTGATTCTGAACTTTTATTACTCCGTGAAGGAGGTCAGGACCTCCGGACGGAGTGTTGTAATCGGCTGATTTTTCATGTTCGCAGTCAAAACACTGGGTTCTCTTTGTGTAATCGGCACGCAATTTTATACGCCGTCTGCGGGCATGCCCGTGTTGATGCACGAATGTGTATTTTTGCCGTTGCTGCTTTCGCGGTCAATGTAATATCGCAGACGCACCCCTACAATTACGAGGCGAATTGGAATGGTCCAGAAAAACGTGTTGTTTGGAATAGCAGTGGGGTTCAAAAAAGTTCATGCAGATACGGGGTGGTTTTTATTAGTGGTTCCAGATGTTTTTGCCCATGGTTAAGAGATGCCAAGTTTTTTGGAAGATGTTCGCAGCCAAAACGCATTCTTCCGTACGTCGCATTTCTGTGTAATTTCGCATGTGGTGTTGCATTATGTCCGGGATGATGCACGTCTTTTTATTTTTACCGTAGCTGTTTTGATATTGGAGTAAATGCTTATTTTCGAAACATCCCCATTTCTTTGAAATGGTTTCGTCCGTTTATGCAACTGTTACTGCGCTAATGACGACCAGTCGCGCTGTCCTGATACACCGCGAATGTGCGAGTGTTCCCTGTAGACAGTCCCGGGAGTCATTTTTTTCGCACATTCCAGGAGCCAAACCAAAATACGTTCATGAACCGAGTCCAAAAAACCGAAACGTGAAAATCGGATGATCGGACCTGATGTACATTTCTCTTTCTATAGATTGTACACACAATACACACATCTTTAGATAATCTGGCCATGGCAGGTTAAAAAAAAGTAACCCTGAATCATACTAGATTAGCGTAAATAGCATGTTAATGCGTTCAAAACAAGAAAAAATTGTTTCCGGGTATTAATCTCTTGAATCACGGCGCTGAATATTGACGCAAAAATATTTCGGGCATCGCGCGCCCTTCCCGCGTCACGTGTAGGCATCTCGCATCTCTGATTGGTTGTTGCGTCTTAACCCTCAACAGTACACCTTCCCGGACTGATTAATCTGTACACCTGGGGTCCGCGCGGACCCCAGAGCAGTTTTTTGCTAATTTTTAGAAATTATCAACATGCTACCAGCTCAATTGTTTTGCAAACTGATGTGGGAACCTCTGTGTCCACATTACAAACAAATATCATACATTTTGAACTTTTTCTATTTTTTGGTGAAGAAAAGAAGACAAGAAGAAATACCCGATTTTTAAACCCATTTCAGACTGAAGGGGCTTTTGAGGCCCAACTTTGATCTCAGATAGCGGCTAAACGGCTTGCGCTAGAAGTATCAAATTTGGAGACCTTTCCTAAAATGTCTCTGGAAAAAAGTTCATATTAGTTTGATACTAGTAAGTTGATGTTTTTTTGTGTTGCCATGGCAACGGGTTTCTATTTTTCAAAATAGAAGTAATTTTGGTTTAAACATAAAAATTTTCTGAGTTTTATATTAAATTACACTTCTTTTCCAACATTAATAACATCTTACATAATTAAATATAAGTTAAATCATTTGATATGCATAGAATATGCTAATTTGATGACGTCATTGGTCAAAATCCAATATGGCGGACTATATTATTAGCTCTGACGTCATATGACGTCATAATTACATCAAAGTTATTAAAATTTAATTGTATTACTACACCATTCTCTGAAAACTTGGTAGACATAAGATGAGTGCATAAAAACATATAAAAACGGAAATAAGGTAATGTATAAGAATGCCAATGTATCCATTATGATCGAAAGCCGGCTGGGGTCCGCACGGACCCCAAAAGAAAATCAGATATAATTTATTTTATAAATGGTAGAAACGGAGTTTTCTGCACTGTATTGAGAGACAACTTTGTGGATGACAATTACCTAAAATTTCAGAAAAAAATCTTTAGAAACAAAAAAGATACTACAGAATATATAGTGCTGGGGTCCGCGCGGACCCCAGGTGTACTGTTTAGGGTTAAGATGACTGAGCCGACGCGCGTTTAAACAATTTTTCTTTGTTCGATTTATCACACTTCACAGAGAATTGTCGCCAATGGCTACTTCTTTTTGTTGCAATATATAATACTTCACGGAGAATTGTCGCCTATGGCTTCTTGTTTTTATTTTCAAATCAGAAAAAACGAAGCAGGCGAATCCGTTAACCAAGAAATTAAATTGATGCTTTGCTTTATTGAGACAATGCTTTATTGAGAAGATACACAGACTAGTTGTTAGTTGTATCTGGACACTTTGGCCCACATGTCGGGGTCAGGGCCAAACCTTTCCTTTAGGTCTTCAGTAGCTTCCGTCAGCTTCTTATCAAACTCCTGAAGGGAAAAAAAAAACAGGGATCAGTGATGTTTCTGATATGATTTGAGGGGCCCAGCAATTGGCCTAAGGAAATGAAAGTCGCATGATAGCTGCGCATTCAAGTCTACTTTGTCAGGAAATGAGGAAGTATACTAGTATTATTACGGAGAGCCTGTTGCATGTACTTGGATATATGTGGATGGGCCCCAAAGAGAACTTGATAGACTGGGCTACTGGTTAGCCTCTACCAGGCTTTGGGAGCGACTGGAAAGAGTAGAAATTGGCCAAATAGAGAAATAACATGTCCGGGGAGTTGGTGCACTAGAAAGTACATTTTGACACAAAATAAAAAAATACTCAGTGAAAAAAAAAACAATAAAAAGCCTATAAACACGCTGAAAGTAACCCCAAACTGAAAACCTCTGCTTAGAGAGAACCGTTACTCCTCTTTCGGACCAATTCCCCTGGCGTGTTATCTCTCTATTTGGCCAATTTCTACTCTTTCCAGCCGCTCCTGAAGCCTGGTACAGGCCAGCCACTGGCTGCCAGGCTACTCACCTGATAATCTCTAAGCAGATCTCTTTTGGTGGCAAGTATCCATTAGCTATTGGCCACCGACGGTGGGGGTAGCGACAAAATAAATGGGCCATATATAAAAAGCTAACGATCATTCCCCCCACAACCTCTGCTTGGAGTACTCACCTGAGACAGCTTGGCCAGTTTGCAGTTGTCCTCCAGCTGCTGCGGCGTGCGGCACCCCACGATCACGGACGCCACGCCCTGCCGCCCCAGTAACCACGACAACGCCGCAGACGACATCGGCACGCCCTCCTTTGCGCACGCATCACGAAGGGACGATATTGCCTAATACATGTGAGGGTGGAACGTTGAAAACAATCTATTTTTTTTTAAAGTGTACATGAAACGAACATCACCACCCACATACTGCAAGGGGTGATCTGTATCTGTATCTGTATAGCCGGTATAACCGCCTTTCGGCGTAACACACCAGCTTCGCAGGCACGCGGCGCAGCGGCAGCTGGCTATATTACACCGATCGACTTGTTACACCTATAAACCCTTGAACTTCTAGCTCTAGACAGATCAACGGAAGGAGGAGCCGTGGAAGACCACGTCGGAGGTGGGGCGACGATGTCCGTGACTGGATGGGCATGCCACTGGCAGAGTGTTCTCACAGAGACAGGAGAGAGTGGAGGAGGCTGATACTGGATGCCACCATAGTCCCCGACCCTCAGACATGAGGATGGGACTAGGTAAAGGTAAGGAAACGAAACGAAATTATGTGATTCATTCATGTCTTTTCTGAAAACAACAATGCAATCTTTGAATTTTCCGAGAAAAACTTGCTAAAACAATGACTAAAATGTCTACTCTGGGCTCTTTGGTGGGACTATTTAACAAAGTCGTGACGTAACACGTCTTGAGTACATGGATGGTCTCATTACCCTGGTAAAGCCTAAAGGGTACCGATTGTCCAGGATTCAGGTGAATATTCAGATGAATATATACTGTTTCAGAAAGTCTAACAAAGAAATGTAAAAATGCATTGCAGGAGAATACAGTTGTAGCTTTCATAGAATTTAAAAAGAAAAACTTGTTACTGTATTTTTCATCGGGAAAATAATTCAACTACAATTTTGTTATCAGAACGGAACTATTTTACCATAGATTCGGCCAATAAATTATACTAGTAATAAGAGTTACAACAGATTTGGAAATTCTTTGATTTCGTGATTTGTTTGTTGTTTGTAAAACTAACCTGAAAAGTCGCTGCCTCTTCTCCACCCTGGCAGTGCTTTGAGAGAGAAGTACTGAAAACAACCACACAAGTGGTGAAAACAACCACACAAGAAAGTTGTAGTAAAACGTTAAACTTTATTCCAACACACTATTTACAGGGATCAAATTTTCAGCGACCACTGTCGCCTTCATCAGGATAATTAATGACCAATCACTTCAAAATGTGATCTCGCGAGAGTTACGGTTTACAAACACGTGACATTATTCACACGAGACTTTACTGATACGTGACGTAAGCAATTGATCAAAAGTGCCAGGGAGTTTATATCGTCCACCATCTCTATTAAGTGATGGTGAAAGTTTAACGTTTTACTATGATTACTACCAACACAGATGAACTTTCATGATAATCTAAGAAAGTTATTATTTTCCAATTATTTTACTACATGTTGTTGTGTCAATAAAGAATCCTTGTATCTTGATGAAACAGCCACATATCTAGTGTCTAGAACTGAACTTCAGACTTGAGAAGGCACCATACCAGTCTCAGATAGGAGATAATAAAAGGGGACTATCAAAGTTTGCGTATATATTATCCCTGTAAGAGGATTTTCAGAGGATACCTGGATCGACCAGCTGTACGTTTATCTTGTCCTGATCATGTAAGTAGGCACAGTATATATCGCCGCTTACATGTAACTTCAGCTTAGGAACATGTTTTTGCTCGACATGGGACTCTAGTAACTGCCAGGGAAATGGATATACTGCCCGGCCAATATGATACAGCTTTGCAGCCACCAAAGACTAGCTTGGAGACAATCGCCATGGCAATGTATGTTTTCATTGCCAGTCTTGTTATTATGTTTACCGAAGAAAAACATATTGTTTTTGCTCCATTTCTTCTTCTGTTCCAAACACTAACCTCTGACTGTGGCCAATGGCCTCTTCTGTTGACGTCTGTCACCATAGTAACTGGTGTAGAGTTACATAATGTAGCAATTTCATAGTAGGCATGTAGACTCCTGTCACCATATACATGTACATGTATGCGAATGTGTTCGAGTAAAAATTAACAGAGCAGACTGTATCCGAAGGTAAACATTATGCATTTGCCTTTTCTAGTTCTTTCTTCACATTTCAGTTTTGTAAGTGTGACAGTGATATGGACCCTCAAAGTAGTAAGGAACATAGGGAACTGTCATTGTCAAAAGTTATAGGTACACATGTATATGGTTAGCGTTTTCACCTTTGTGAGCTGAAGTGCCTTGTCCTCCTGCGCCCCTCTGGCACGTCCTGTGGCGCGTGGAAGCGGCCGGAGAGCAGGCCCTGCTGCAGCGGCGAGTAGCTCAGCACCGACACCTTCCTCTCCGCACACGCAGGCACGACCTCGTACTCCACAGCCCGCCACAGCAGGTTGTACGCAACCTGGGGAACATGGGGAAGCACAGAAATATCTTTGTTAGTACTGATAAACAATTTATAGGCGTAAGCTTACCAGAAGATAATTTAGAAAACTCTTGTATCTCCCGTCTAGTAATCCTCCCTTTTTTTTATTATGTTATACCCCAATTAAAAACAGGTAGTAGCAAACTGTACTCCTTAATAGCGGACTAATTCTGTCTATTTGGCCAATTTCTACTCTCTCCAGTCGATTATGAAGCCTGGTAGAGGAAAGCTTGTGAACACCTCTGTACCTCACCTCCTGGCGTCTGAAAGTTAGCCTGGGTGCCATCCTCCGTAGTTTCTGCCCGCTCCCTAATGTTGCTGGGCACCACGTGGTAGATGGCGACATTAGGGAGTGGGTGGAAACTACAAAGGAAGGCACCAAGGCTATCTGAAAGTGGCACAATCAAACTGTTGCTATGCCACTTGGAGGCATCCAGTACTGGCCCTACTACTTCCGATTGGTCATGCCAACAGACATGGCTTGATGAATTTCAGCAGTTTTTCTTTATCAATATATAAATGTCGACTGTCCACGTTGCTTTTAGTATGACCTGATGCAAGGAATAAATAAATAGAGATGCAGTCTTTATGATTATCTACAACTCTGTCCACCCCCACCTGGTTGGTGGCGCATTCTCCTCCCGCCTCGCAGAACTCGGCCAGCTGTTTGGCGCCGAAGTTACAGACTCCGTAGTGACGGATCCGTCCCTTGGCCTGCTGACGTTTCAACTCGCCGACAACTTCACTTGCGTCCGACATGAACATGGCCCAGTGAACCTGGGGGGAAAACAGCACGGGGAAATATGAATGGTTTATTTTTCAATACAAGATAAAGTACAAATCGTACAAAAAATACAGTAGCAGCCATTATCAGCTGAAATAATGTATGATTTACAGTACATTGTTAAAAAGCTCCACTTGGTAAAACTTAACGTAGCATTAAGCGATAACCACAGAAGACGAGATAAACATTAATTACAATTCCAACGTTATAAATCATATTCTCTAAGAAACACATCATGCATAAACATGTATAAATATACATGTGTTACTCAAGGACTGTCATGAGCTGTTTGGCGAGTTATTGGCTTAAGTTATTTGCCGTTTAACAGGTCCACTAAGAATGGCAATGTGCTATTTCCTATATTGTTCCATCCTACATGAGGGCCTGCAAGCCCTTTTTCGTAAGGCGTAATCAGGCCGTTTTAGACTTCGTAATTCGTAGGCAGCCTCCGCAAAAATCAACGTAATTTACGTAATTGGACATTAGCCACAAATCGTAAAGTCGTAATCAGCTCTGAGACTTTAACGTAATTCGTAATAGGCGGCAAAAATTTTGCGTAATTCGTAATCACTACCCCCCCTTGCAGGCCCTCCTACATTTAAACTGTGTTTTCTGATGTTTGGATCTGAGGTTCTTGCCATGAAGGCTCACACGTTTTGGGGGAAGCCAGTTAGAAAAGGTTGTGGAGATTGATATGGAAAGGAACATTGATGGCACTCTCCACCAGATCTGGACTAACTATGCTGGCTGAAAATAGCCAAATCTAAGCCAACTTTTGGAGACTACTTTGCCTGGGAAGTTCATTTGCAAAAAATATAAATAAATAAATTTGCAACCCGGCTAACAAAGTTCAGTTCAGGTCATCCTCTTTCGAGGTGCCATTCACAATGTCACTCCACGTGACTCTGTCGCGCATGGCAGACAGAAGTTCCTCATCCCGTAGACCGACCTCCTCCTCGATCAGTTTCTTTAGCGTTAGGCACGGTCGTCCCCTCCTTCTTTTTACATCCGGTTGCCAGAGAAGCACTTTGGCGGCCATCTCTTCGTGGCGTACCACGTGACCGGCAAGGGCCAGTCGTCTGTTCTGAATGGTCTTCAAGTTGGTAAATCAGGGGTAGACCGTTGTAGAACTCTACTAGTAATTAGTGTAAAACTCTACAACTCTACAACGGCTAACACAATTAATCCAATTATGGCCAAATTCTAATATCTGTAAGCCCAGTAGGAAGGCCTGGTGGATGCTAAATTAATGGCAGGTTAATTGGTCAAACAGCCAGAATAAAAGAAATGTTTGGAGTAGGAAACAGACACATCATAAGCACTAAAGTAGGAGAAGGGCGCTCTATACAAGAAACTTGCTACATTGTCATGAAGATACATTTTCCTGATCGGTGGCAGTAAGAAGTCTCATCATCACACTTAGCGTTACTTTTGCATCCAAAAGAAACTTTTTGTGTTTTGTATCAGGTTAACTTCACCTTTCCAAACCTGGTAGCTACATAGTAGTTCATCCTGTTCAGTGAGTGAGTGAGGCTGAGTGCAACGTGAGATTTTCTTGGAGCACGTATTTTAAGTATTATGTTCTAGGATACGTCGATGAAGGTTAGACATCTAGGTAATACGATACGCCAAAAAGCAGTTACTCAAGCAACTGTTGTGACCGTTTCCAAAATCATATCCAGTTGCTTGAGTAACTGTTTTTTGGCGTATGTTCAAGGATGTTTCATTTGTTTATTTGGCGTTACGCACCTGGTAGAGATCGACGTAGTCCGTCTGCAAGGCCTGAAGACTCGCCTGCAGGGAGCTCTCCACCTCCACCGCGGTGTACCGCTTGTGAATCGCCCCGAACTTTGTGGCAACAATGGCGTCCCGTCTTCGCCCTTCCAGCGCCCTCCCCAGAACCCTCTCTGATGCGTGGCGACCATAGGCCTATAGTTATGTAAATATGGTCATTGACAGTATATATTGCACATTTTTGCCACACTTGGGTAAGTACAGATCACAACAAAACAAGATGAACAGATACAAAAAGAACCTTTTGTTACATAAATTCAACCTCTCGCTTTTCATTTATTGTAGAAATAAAAGAACGGATGAAGTAGAGTGGATTCAGTCCTCAAATTAAACGACATGTGTCACATTGCAGCTGTACCTCAGTATAAAACACTCTGAGCCACATACTGTGTTCCCGCTTAGAACTTTCATTTAGCAAGCTTTTTTTTGTCACGGTTTGTAAACAACATTACACTCAATTTTTTTTTTCTCCACAAGGTCCTTGCATAGGATTTATTTATTTATTTATTACAATTAACCGTTACACATGTACATGGAGGGCATGGTGGAACAGGTGCACCTAAGCGCACCTTTTCAAGGCCACCATGCCCACAATAACCTAGGATTCTCATGATTCTCTTAATTAATGATTTTCATTTTTTCAAGTGTGTGCGGCAAACCAAGGAGCTATCATCACAGTCAAACTTCAATCAATAGTTTGAATAGTTTAGTTACCGGACACTGGGTAAGAGAATTGTTATTTGTCGTTACCTCGGCGGTGTCGAAAAAGTTGACTCCAAGTTCAAATGCTTTATTCACAATGTCCTTGGAAACCTGTAAAAAACAGAGGGCAGATCCAACCATATACAGAAACATGCACGCAGGCAATATTCAGAGTTAGGTCAATACTAAAACAAATAACGTTATATGGTGAACTTCGTTTGCGTCTTCATCGATTTCCAACCTTTGGTCTGGTCAAAAGAGCAGGACTATGGGCCCTATTGACCAGTCCATTTTTCTGGCCAACGTTTCAAAGTTCAACAATTTTTGGTGGATCGAAGGTTACAAGGAACAGGTGTCATTGCTCTGAATGCACGCATAGTACGTGACAAGAGCACGTCGGCAGAACATACTGCACCTGCGCGAAACGCGTAATGTCTTGTGAATAGGCCATAGCATTTTGGCAGAACGTCTCATATAACATATGGTCGTATTCGCGCATATAACTTATCATAAGGTTAACATCTCGACTGTAGTTATGTCGGAAAAAATCGTCTGCAACAGGCAAAACTCTGATGTTTATCAAAAATCCAACGAAAACCGCGAAAAATGGGGTGAGGCGCAAATTAATAACTGTTACGTTCTGCCGATGTGCTCGTGACAAGTGGGCGTGTCCGTCCACGTACCATTTTCCTACACAAACCCTTGCTTACCAAAGCAAAACTTCGGAACTTTACTGAATACCGTTCACCATTCATACGAGATTATTGGATTCATGGTGAACCGGATATACTGACAGGAACTGAGATTTGCACTCACGCCAGAAGTCGCCATATTTGCCAGTTGTGTCTTTTGAGTGCTCAGTCTACGATCAGCATTTAAATTGGTGTTATTGAGCGTCAACATTTCTTCGTGACTTCAATGTATAAAATGCATCAAAATCCCCATCACACATGCACCAAGCTTCCACCACCGTGATGATTTTGAGTCGAAGACGTAATGTACCAAATGTTGACGGAAATTATTTCCCCAAGCTAGTAAAGCCGGTTTTACTTGATGTGATGATGTTTTTAACATACCTGTTCGTCTTGTGCCGGCCAGGTCTCATCAGCCTTTCCTTCGTTGAACTGCCAAGCCCCGAGGCAGACCGGGGACACGTGCAGGTCGGTGTTGGCTAGCTGTCGCCGCTCCATGGTCGCCAAAACTCTGGTTTAGGGTTTAATAGTAACACCAGTTGTACCGGAAGTTTCAGTCGCGAGCCACAACTCTGGATGACCTTTCACCTGATGGGAACTCGTGTCCACTTGTTGTGCTGCTGTAGTTCATACCATACCTGTCGGGTGGCGCAGTTGCAACCCTAAGATTCGAGGGTGACGGCCGCATACTCTATCTTTCATACATGTAAGAAACAGGAGGAGACGGTAAAAAACCCACTGGTCCCGGGTGGGGTTCGAACCCACGACCTGCCGGGCCCCAGTCAGACACTCTAACCTCTCCGCTAAAAGGTCTAGACCCGTTTGCCGGATCTGTTGGTAGCGCCTATAAACCCCCACTGTTACACTACTCCGCCTTTTCTTTTCAAGATTCGTCCTCGAATCTTCCGAATTCGACATCCCTGGAGCGGCACTCTTTGCCAGAACTCCCAGGGCCGGTGTGGGAACCACTGTAAGAAACAGGAGGAGACAGTAAAAACCCCACTGGTCCGGGGCCGGGGTTCGAACCCACAACCTCCCGGGCCCCGGTCAGACACTCTAACCTCTCCGCTAAAAGGTCTAGACCCGTTTGCCGGATCAGTTGGTAGCACCTATAAACCCCCCACTGTTACAGTTCTAACACCAGTAGACCTCCACACTCACCTTGATGACCTTCTCCACACCTGAGGACACCACCAGGTGAGTGGCGGGGTTGAAGCGCACCTGGTTCACGATGGAGCGGTGCCCCTTCAGCACCATGTGAGCCGTCACTACCCGGGGTTCTGCGGAAAACAACGTACAGGCGGTGAGTTTTATTACATTACAGGTGACAAATCTTCTTTTTGATAATACACACAACACAGTTATTAGCTACTTTGGGAAAAGTTATTAGCTACTCTGTCTCTTCGTCAACCTGGTAAGATCCAGTCTTGGAGTTCTCTTGTCGTATGACTTGATGTAACTATCACATAACAGGAGACAGTCATATACAGGCCTGAGGTAGTGACGCCCCCTGTCTGTGCTTAAGGTACTGCATCATCTGCAGATCTGGGTCGTCTCTGTACACAACTTGCAGATGGTAACTTATAGACTGCTACATTTATATAAAGACCTGTTCATTATAGAAACCTGTTAAAATTTGTGCAATTCAATGACATTTGATTACAAACTTTGAACTAATGGTCTATAATGCACATTCAATATATAGTGAAATAAAAAGAATGCTCGCCGACATTTTTTATTGCTATATGTGTATTAGTCCCACTTTAAGTTTACACTCTTAGTCTTGCACTAATTAAGACTAATCATCAACAGGAAGAGCAGTCAGCTAACAGAGGATATGCTGATGTGTGGTGTGTTCTCTTTCCCACTATAACTTTATAGAAACTTTATTCGCAAAATCATGCCCGAAGGCTAATTGCTTTTACAATCAAGTATAATACTCATTGCAATACAGTAACAGGAGACAGGTAACAACTGTCTGGAAAAAACTTCTACTTCTACTAATACGCTAGCTATTATGGGGTTCGACTTCTTCTTTGAGGGCAGTGGATAATGAATAGTCCCACATTCTACATAATTAGTGGGTTTTGTGATCTTAGTAGAAATGCAGTCTTTTGGTGATCTTCTAAATGACGAAAGGATGGAGAAATTGTTGTAACTGTCCCAACAGCTGTAAGCAAGCACCCTTACCCAGTTCTGTGTCCTCTGGTATCCGCCACAGGTAGAGGTTAAAGTCATCCGACCCCGACAGCAGATACTGAAACAAAAGGACACAAATAAGCTCTTTCTTTCAGCAGCTCTTGCATAAAAAGGTCAATGACCTGGACCAGATGGCTGTCACCATGGTAACTGGTGATGTAGCAGACGCTAAAATGTGACATCCTTGCCAATGGTTATGACTTTATACAAGGTATTGTAGATAGGACTAATTAGACGTGCTTTGTATAAGTACCTGGGCTCAAAATACTGGGTGCAAATTTGGAGCTGTGCAATTTTTTTTTCTGTAGGTTTCGTAGGTTTATGTAAAGATATTAGTATACAGGATATTAGTATACAGGATAATCCTGTTATCTAAGTATCAGAAAATTAATAAAATCTTTGTTGTAGTACTCTTGCTTACGATTTTGAAGTTAGCCCCCATTTCAGATAAAAGCTCAGAAGAGGAGCAGTAAGACCTGTAATTAGGTTTTGTTTTATCTGGTGCACCAGTGCACTTATTCCCAAAAGTGAACCCCTCCCCACCTCGGTCCCTGGTCACTCACTCACTCACTCACTCACTCACTCACTCACTCACTCACTCACTCACACACTCACTCTCTCACAGCACACACTCACAGCACTCACTCACTCACTCACTCACTCACAAATCCACCCACCCTCCCACCCTCACTTACTCACTCACTCACTCTCTCACTCACCCAGAAACCCACCCACTCACTCACTCACACATTCAACCCTCCCCACCTGGTCCCTGTCTCCGGCGAAGCAGCAGCTCTTC